TTTGATCATGCTACAATGACTACCGAGAATCACACAAGCACTGGTATATACCACTTTCAGAAAACTCAAAAATAACAGTGTCCAAAATATTATTCCAACAATTCGTTGCAATCAAAAATAACTTCCTAGAACAACTGATTCCCTTCATTACATTCACTAATCCCTCTACCTTAAATTACATACTGGTTTTGGAATTTTGAACCAAATACAAAAGGAATAAATTTAACCACAATTAACTGTGCTAACTACATCAAATTGTATGATATTTTGAGTTGTTCTGTCAGAAGATGTTGACAATGTAAACTTTTTCACACACACACAAAATTCTTGCTGTCTTGTATTTACTAATGGGAAACATAAACAAAAGCCTAACCAGAGTAGATATCCACCTTCTATTATGAAACTAGTTTTCACCTCAAAACTCTCCCATTCTGAATGGATGCCTCAAATTGACTTCATGTGGACACACATCTCTGTGTGTGACTGAATATTTATTCATAAAAGTTTCAGTCCATTGCTCTATTTCTGACAGTAGGGCTATCATAGACCCTGCTGCTCAAGCCAGACTTTCCTTTAGCAGTGGCTCAGTGAGAAGTTAGAGTGCTTCCATGCTGTGGACCAGGAATTTAAAATTTAGAAGAAAGTTTGCTTGGTATCATGGAAACGTCTTTTATATGTCCTGTGAAACCCCACTCAAATCCAAGGAAATTACAAACCTCGGAAAAATGCACGGATCAATAGACTAAGTACTGTCTGCTCCCAAAGGATGAAGGTGCTGAGAGCAGGTTATCCCCTCCAGATGGACGAGGCACGTTCCCCTGCCAGCTGATCAGCTCGTACTGCGGGTGCAGTGAGACCGTCTCCAACAGGCAGCGTGCACCCTGACTCTCACATCCCTCGGTTCGGACGGTTTAAGGACAGAACAGATTGCAAGACCCTCCAATTTCCTGAATTTTAGAGACAGCTAAGCCTAATAACCAGTACTTAGCTCATAAAATTCTTCCTAAAATGACACCTGGATTTGATCTGAAACACAGTACAAAGAGGTTCTGCCACTTCCTTCACTGTTTCAAATGTGTGCACTTTTTTTTTTTTTAAATCTGAATCTCTCTGTAGCCTCTGGTTTTCATTACGGCGCCTTCTCCTAGATTTAGAAGCCCATTAATACCTGTATATATTTTTGTCCTGTGAAAACAGTTGTACGTTATAAAATGTTCATCTTCCAGTCCTCTTTTTGACAAGCTGAACAAATTGAACTGTAAGTCTGTCATCTGAGGGCACAAATTCTCCAGCTCAAATTATTCATGGCTTTTTCAACAGCCTCTTCAGGTTTTTCAATGTCTTCTCTAAAATTCTGATGTCAAAACTACACCTAACATTCTGCCATCAATCTGAGATGTTTTCAAAATTACAATCATCTTTCTACCCTCCTGTTTATTTCCACTCTACCCATCCCAGATGGAATTAGGTCTAAATGCTCTACCACTAGACCACAAGCTTCTTTTGAGCTGCTTGTGCATTACAACGCTTAAATCTATTTCCAAGTCCCTATGCCCAGGACACAGTCTCCTCCTCCTGTAGGTATGACTTCTGTTCCAAATTTCTAGATGTAAAATTTTGTGTTTGCTTAGATTTGCAAAATCCAGAGCAAACCCCCTTCCTCCTCCCCAAAATCTCAGTTCTGCTGAGAAAAAAAACCTGCACACAGCATCTTGTTTTTGTTGCTCCCCCTCCAGACACACACCCCCTTGATTCTGTCCTGACAGTGACACAGGACGTACTTTTACTATCTTCTTCCTCAAAAAGTCCTTCTTGTTCTTTTTGTTGTTGTTGATTACACTTACCTTTCAAGTTAGTTTTGGTCATATCTCCCCTTTGCTTTTGAAAATCATTTTTCCTGAACACTCTAATATGGAATTTTACTGTTCAGAAGTATCTTTTGGTTACACTGAATGTTAGAAAATTATGGAGAAGACTGTCCCTATGCAACACAGATTTCTAGATTAATTCCTCACTGTAAGCTTCCATAAAGCTGCTCAAACCAAATGACCTTGTACTGCAGGCAGTACATTTTATGCTAGAAAATTATCATTTGCAATTTTCAGGCTAATTACATTTCACCATTTTCTGCATTTCATCTACAGTATAAGCTTCCCATACAACGGTATTTTTTCTTTATATGCTTTTTATAGCCAAGTGCTCAAGAAGCAACGTACCTCATTCAATTTGCAATAGACCCCTGTGAGTACTACCCTCTTGGGTTTGTTAATTAGTAGACTGATTGATATGTATTCAAGATCCTTGTATTAATTAACTTTAAGGCAGGTACCAGTGTCTTTAATGTTGCATACTGTCCTCCACTCCTTTTAGCCACTCTTTCCTTAAGTAGGCTGTAGGCACTGATTTCACTTTCTTATTATTGAAACCTTGTGGGACAATTCATATCAATTAAATCTCAATTTTCCCCATTACTGAGAATTTCCCATTTCTCATGCTTGTCACCAGGGTCTTATCACTGATATAAAACCAACTGCAAAACTTCTTTACAATTCTAAGTTTAATCGGCTCCTACGACCCTAACTTTGAATTGCATTTCTCTGCCTAGGACGCTCTGCTTGGGCTGTCAGTTTTTCCCTTCCTGGTTGCTCCAGGCTCCAACTAGGAAGATTCCCCGCTCCGTGCCCCTTCACACAATCTGCCTTCCCATGGGATTTGGACCCCATGTTCTGCACAAAGAAACCTGCAGACTCACTCAGCCCAAATCAACAAATTCCCCTCCAGTGTTTTCTTTTGTGGATCTTCCTTTTCATTACATCTTTCTCAGCCTCCTGGTTTCCCTGTTCTTAATAGCTCTACTCATGATGCCTGTCACCTCACCTACCATTTGGTACCACGAGCAGTACCAAATACCTTCTAGTGATGTCTCCTACAGCTGTCTCTCCACAAATAGTTCCCAGTATTAGCTGGCACACTTGAATATATATGAATAACATTATACTTCCTGTCATATTAAATGTTTCCTGACTTTGGTTGGTTTTTTGTGGGTTTGGGTTTTTTTTTGCTATGAACCATCAGTGCACTCTTCTGGATCCTACCTATTTTTCCTTCTGTGGCATTAGTGGGAATGACTTCTCATTCTGCTAAAAAGAGATATTGCATGTATAATTTTTTTCCACTGAAGAGTTAAAAGATTTCATGAAAAAAAGAACATGGTTTCATGGTTTGACAACTGAATTTTTCTTTTGCCTTTCAGCAGATTTTAAAGGGAACAGGGCAGGCAAACTGAGCAACAGGGCAGGCTAAGTCTTAAATGCAGCTTAGACTGATGGGATTTTTTTACTATTGCTACGAAGCCCTATAAAAGTTTACATTCATGAAAAAAAAAAATCATATTAGAGGCAACTCAAGCCATTCATCCAAATTGAATGGACAAGTCTGAACTTCATGACTTTTTTTCTCTACAAATGAAGTGAGCACAGTGATGCTACCTTACCAATACACTCATGTAATATTTATGAAGGTACATCAGTGAGCTAAAAAAAAAATCTGGCAAAAGAAATAATTGTATATAATAATTAAAGGTAGAAAGAAATGGAGGCACATGCAAAGAAACTAAGCGATGACCGAGGAAGCTATTGAAGAAAACATTTATTGTCTGCTGTGTCATTTTAGTTTTAAGCATGTGATTGTTCCATTACAGACTATCATAACACACCTGCAGAAGGTATCTGAATTGGGCCAGTATGACTTCCCACATCCTGGCCGATCAGTGTAAGAACAATACTGTTAAATGATATTTGACATTTTACAAGTATTCTCTTTACTTGTCCTGAACAAAACCCAAGCAACTCAGCTCTGTTACACCAAGATGGTCTGAAACCCATATAATTCTTTATGAACCTCATATAATTCTTCAACAGGATCAGAACCTTCAGATCCAAGATAGTGGCTGCTGCCATGTTACCCACCAGAGCACTTCTCCATAAAAGCAATTTATCATTCTATTTAAGTACATAAGACATTTACTGGACTAAAGAATTTTACAACCATCTGCTGTCAGCATAGTTTCCTCATACATTAAGAGGCACGATGAAGAAAACATCTCAAAACTTTTAGTGAGAAGCAAGCAGTACTACCCATGACTCACACAGCCATTCTCACAAACAGCTAACTGGTTTTGTCTGAAAACTAAAAATCAAAGACTAAAACATAGGTCTGAAACAAAACCAGTGAAATTTCTGTCCAAATAGTTACTAACTTGGTAGCTATAAGAAAGTGAAAACATAATGTTTTAACCAAATGACTGGCCAGCATCCTGAATCAAAGAGGCTATCAGCCCAGTTCAGGGTTGTCATCATTTAACAATAAATTCAGGTGTCAGCAAAGAAGTCACTGAAGTACAACGCAACTTCTAGGGGACTGTCTTCAAACTCACTGGCGGTCATATACAAAGAAAGCTTTTCAGGAATCACATACTGCCAAATCAGAAAATTTGGCAGTATTTAGCAAAATTGGGCAAATTCTAAGAAGGCCGGGACTTAGCAGCCCTTGTAGAACTAGTCACTCACAACTGAGGCATGCAACAACAGCTTTACTCTAGTGGTGCCAGCATTACTCACCTTTGCTTGAGCAACAACTTAAACCCCAGATTTTAAAAATAGTATTTGAATGCTATTTACATATTAATATGTTGCGACTACTAATATTCCATCAATGATGTTAGCCCAGACACATACTATATTAGGATTTTTGAAGACTATCATACTTGAGTCAATTTATTGTGTCATAAAAATAAAATTATTATTTTTCATTTGGGGAGGAGGTGATGGCTTTTTTCCTGCTAAATTCAAAATCTTTTTGCCAAGATAAAAAAATTCTTTTTAATTTAGCACGACTCGGGAAAATAGTGAGTTTTTGTGTTTGGGGTTTTGTTTGTTCTTTCTTTTTTTACCTGTGAAAAGTCTGAGCGTGAACAGATCTAGATTTGACTGGGTACTCACTCTGTCGCACAGCTCTTCAAACGTGAAGTCTGCAATGGTTCCACACGCTTTATTCAGCCTCAGCTCTCTGCCTTGCACTTTTAGAATCCTTGGTCTAGTTACTATGGGAACATGAACAAAGACTCAATCTTCTCTGGATAATTACTATAAAATTCATCTCTTACAGATAGGAAATGCATAGCTTGATGAATAATAGCACATGATTCAACACATAAATTAGACAAAATGCTGATACAATGACTGCCACTTGAGTGTGGCATCAACCCATATACAGCAATGGAACTTATTAATTGGTCAGTGGAGATTGGGCATTGTGTTCTAAATGTATTCTCTTTCAAGAGAAATTAACTTACGTACAATCATTTTGTTTCTGAGCCAGCTCATCAAACAACTTATCCATGACAGCCTCCACATCAGCTTCACTTGTGCTACAGTGAAAAGAATAATAGAATATGAAATTAATAACACTTGAAGCCAACATCAAACAGCTGCCTGAGCCTGCTTAGCTTTTTGCCCATAAAAAAGAGAACAGGATGTTATGCTCTAAATACAAACATTAGATTTAGAATACACTTAAAAGTAGAGAATATTAACTCTCAGGTAGATGATTCTGCCTTATTTGCATACACTGAAAGACTTCTGTGTTTTGAGCTGTTTCCAGTAATGAGGCAATACAGGCAGAGCAGATCCATTAACACTATGTGTACACAATGAGAAAAAAGGCTTCTGGCTCTATCTTGCATGCAAAATAAGAGCAAATAGACAAGGCAAGGCAGTCAAGCACCTAAAGAAGTATCCTTTGAAATTTCTGAGAGGGGACTTTGTGAATTAAACATTGGAGCAGCTTTCTTTTGGGGGGACAAAAAAAATAAAAAAAAATCAAGTCAACTGATTGTATTGATGAAACAATTTGCAAAATTAAACTATGAAATTCAAAATACTAATATGATCTCTCTATTAGTAATTTTATCAGTCCCCAAAACAGCCCTCTGTCCCCAGTACTATTTGGGAAAAGATCAACCACAGACAGTGAAAATGCAAAATACCTATGCTGAGAGCTGAAGTAAAGTTTATAATTCATCTTCTGGTTCACTTACAAATCAATCAGATTAGAGAATATTTTTTTGTCCCTCAATAGGTTAGAGGGCCCACCTTTCCGTGTTTCATTTTTAGAGAACATAGATAATACTTCTAGCTGAGTTTGAAGGCTGAAAACAGTAAATTAATGCTACGGTGGACAATAAACTAGATAGGATATAGTTCTAGTTAAGGAAATGCTTCACTGAAGTGTGTATGGCCTCATTTGGTGTGAAAAGTCTGCTGCTACAGATCATGGCTGCACACTAGTTGTATCGCTTCACACAGTTCCACACCTCTGCTAAAGGACAAGTGATGATCACCATGTTACACAATTACTTTCCTGTTCATTAGGCCTTAAGCACCTTAAAAATATGAACAGCAGAACTGAAATAAATACTTCTTAGCTCAAGCTTAATTATAGCAAACATTGTTGACACCAAGAGTTGGGGAAAAAAGCCCCCAAATTTCTGCAAGTGCTATTTCAAACACTTTAAAAAACCTTTTTTGTATAGATTACATAAAACTGTAACTTCAAAAAACCACAGTTTCTCTCAGAATTGATGTTCGTGTGCTGCTTTCCTGTGACAAAATGACAAATGAACAGACAAAACCAGGAAAAAAAAGCCACAAGAGGGGGAAAAGGAACACATATATACTGAAGAATATGCACAAGCGTATGCACGTAATTATCAAAAAGTTTGATGTAAAGGCTACAAGCAGAAACAGCCAAATATGATGCGGAGGCAGATACTTGCACCCAACTGCCAAGAAAGTTTGTTTTGAAAATAGACACCTGAGACTGAGATCAAGGAAGTTGCCTTGATCAGGAATCTTGTAATTGTGTTACACTGATTGCTTTCAGCTGAGTATGAAAGAGCTCTAAGCAACCCTTAGTTGCATATTTTAACTGAAGAAAAGGCTACACAAATTATGAAGCATCAAGAGGCTTTACAAAAAACTTGATGATGATACTATAACCATTAATAGAGGAATGTAAACATGATGGACAAGAACATTTTCTTTTGAGCGCAGGACTGCTAAGTAATTTTAAAAATCTGTGGCAAAATAGTGCATAGTATCCAATTTTAAGACAAAACAAAAAGAAATCCCCACATTCTATGCTAGTTCTGCAGGGTTAAAAGCCCCAGTAGGCAAGTTTGAATAGAAGAATGAGTAAAATTTCCTCAAAAAAAGTAAGGGCAATGAAACAAGTATCTTATATCCATTGGCAGCGATGGGATTTTTTTATTCCCCCTCCGCCCCACACTGCTTCCTAATCATTTACACAAGTTCTAGAGGTAACCAACGTTCTTCCAATGAGAGAACGTGAGACAGACTTATCACCAATCTCTTCCCTTCACTTAATCACAAGTTTTACAGCAGAACACCATGAAATATTTTGGGCTGGGTACTACTGCCTCTGGGGCTTGCTCATGTTTCTTCTCCTCTGAGAGCTGCTGCCATAAGCACCATGTTTAGCCTGTTACCTGCTAGAAACCACCTACGTGCTCTTCCTTTCTCCAGAGTATGGATGGTGAGAAAAGAATATATTGTGCTCTCCACAATTATAGAACAACAAGTCACTGAGTGCAACGGGCACAATGAGGGGAGCCATAAGGAGGGACAGCTACATAGACATCGGAACAAGAGCCACAATGAGCAGGTCTGAGATAAGAGTAGCAGCTCCAAGCAGTACTTCCAAGCAGAACACAAAAGAACTTAGAGCCAGGCAAGAATATAGAACAAGAGTTAATCCGTCTGTACTCAAGAAAAGTATGTGCATTTGGACCATTTTCCACATACAAAATTCTGTCATTTCCTTCCCAAAGCAGGAAGAATGACCTGTCGTAATTCTGCTAAGCAGTACTCCTCCCTCCAGACAAACAACTACAATTTCTAAAACTTCATAAAGTGATACAGACATACTTCGCTTGAGCTATCTATCACATTGATGAAAATGCTGCACGTTTCTTAATGGAAATATGATATTTAAATCAATATTTTATGTTGGGTTGAAAGATATAATGGTCATAAATCTTATTTTAAGTTATTGTCTGCATTGCTCAAGTTGTCATTGATTAAATAACATTATAAGACCAAGTACAAGACAGAAAAGTGTCTGCAATGCAAAGGTTTCAAAGTATTAAAAAAAAAAAAGTATATTTCTATTAGGCAGATACAAGCTGCAACCGTAAGCAGGACAGTGAAAGTATTTTAAAATATGTTTATCTGCAAATATACAATAAAGTGCTAAAGAAATTTTGTCACGATAAACAGAAACAATCTGTCAAAATAGGAGGGTGCTGATTTTTTTTTTTAATCCACAGCACTGGAAGCACCCAACATTAAATGAATCCTTGTCATTGGATTTCAATAAATACTTAATTACTTAAATACAATAAGGATGTTCTTCTATTATAAGAGAATTGTGCAATCTCTTACAAGAGGATATTCATTACTTTCTAACCATCTGTCACTTCAGTTCTCCAAACACCACACCTCCCCAAAAAATCTAATTAGTTTTTATTCATTCAAACATTATAAATGATGCTAGTGTGGATACTGAAAATGTAGTTTAATGAAGTTAATATCAAGGCATAATGGAAGGCGGTTTGCTGAACAAAATGGACCAGAAGGCAAAGAAAGGAAAAGTCACACTCTGCTAATTCTGCTATACATTTTTCATTTCCCATTGACTAGGGAATTATTGCCTAATAAGAAGGAAGAAGAGGGCAAATACCATATTACAGATCAACTTACAGGTAGTAGAGTTTTCCAGCAGCAGGAAGCACTCGTTTCCTGTAGTCTATTCCAGAATCAAGCTGGACTGTGCTGCAGTATTTCTAGAGAGACCAAAAAAAAAAAAAAAAAAAAAAAAAAAAAAAAAGTTTTCCTCATGTTCAGATGCAAATTCCTAAGTTCTACTTGGTGCCCTTTGCCCCTTGTCCTGCTGCTGGGCAACTCTGAAAAGAGTCTGGCCCCATCCTCTAAACAAATTATTTTCGTTCAGAAAGTACTCTCATCTGACCCAAAGGCCCAGAAGCAGAAGGACAACTAAGATAAAGCAGCTAGTGAGATGTCAGACTTCTGGAAGAAGAATATCAGTATTAAGCTTTTTGTAGTTTTTCCCCAGGTGTCAAAGATTTCCCGCGCTAGACAGGACAGAAGAGTGTTACTGATTTTTATATACATAGAATTTAAAGTTAAAAGGGGACACAACTCAGTCTTATAATATCAAAAATTAAAACTCAGATTAAAAAAAATTACTATGAATGGAAATAACCCCAAACACTGCCATCTCACTGGCTCTTTGTGGTTTTCAATAAAAAAAAAAAAAAAAAAAGAGAAAAAGAGAATAGCTTTCCTCAAACCAAAGCTGTATTTGTTATTGTCTGCATTAGAGAGAAGATACAATGCTGTGATAAACCATCAGCATGAAGAATATCATCTGCAAAAATGAAATCAAGATCACAAAACTGAAGTCTCCTTTACAACTATCGAAGCAAAGAACTAAGCTGGAAATCATTCACGGATTCAAAACAAAAAAGTAACCATTCTCCAAAGCCCATCAGCTAGAAAATTAATATAGATTGGAAGCACGAGCAATTAAATGAGGGTAGATATTACTTGTTCTCTCTGTAGTAGCTCTGGTTTGGGGGGGAGGGTGTAAAAATAATTATTTTCACATTAAAGAATACATATTTAGAAATAGAAAATTAGGAGCAATAAAAATTTAGCAGACCACAATCAAATTCTAGCAACAGAGACAACTGAAACTACTTCTACCTTTTAAGTTAAAAATATTTTTTTCTTTTCCCTCTACTATGAAGATTAAAAATTTCATGAGTCAAACATCAAATACATGGACCCCGCCAAGTCTTGTTGCAAAACAGACTGAAGCATAAAAGGGAATAAACAAAGCTCTGTATCAAAGAGATCTTGTTTCATTTTTGTAATGTCTGAATTGTCTCAGAAAAGGATCTTTTTTTCCCCTTTAAACAACCTGTAAGATTCCAAGTGTGGTGTAGATGTCTGCAAGTAGTTACAATAATTGCTTCCGTTAGAAAACTCAAATCCAACTGCACTAAAAGGTGCTTTTTTTGATTCTAGGCCTGAGGCTGAGAGCAAAATTCTTCATCCTGCTGAGGCTAGTCAGATTTTACACCCTCTGGTAAAGGGAATAGCTCTGCTTATCTGTTATTACTACTGCCAACATATACAACTTCTGGATGTTACATAGCTAGAAGGAAAAGAAGCTATAACAGAAAGGGAGGAAAAGTTTTAATGTTTTAGAAAATATACCTATATCAACAATTTAAATTAAAGCAATAAAACTTTTTTTTTTGATAGGTAATTCAACAGCATTATAATTCTTTAGATTGCTAGAATCCACTAAATTACTCTGCTGCTTCACTGCACTACGAACTATTAGTTTATCTTTAATACTCTCGTTAAGCGTTTCATATTCTGTGTGTCAAATTTTTCAGAGCCTCCTTGAGGCTATTCAAATATCAAAATTGGAAATGTCAGATCTCATTTATAGCAACTACACTGCAGTAAAAAGAAACCCCTTAAATTTTTAGAAGAACTATGATCAGTGATTTAAGGAACAATGGCCTTTTTGAACAAATGCGTTGCATGGGACTTATAGATTACAAATATCTGCAGGAGTGACTGTGATGACTCATTGTACTATTTTTTTTCCCTTGGCTATTACTGAGGGCTCTAGACCTATTTTAAACCTCCAACTTCTCTGCAAAGATACACAGCTGAAGAAAGAAGGTGAAAAGAAATCATCCTGAAAGCACAGAATCCCAAGAAAATCCACGTATCTTTAATTCTGGTAAGTGAAAAAGCCATGCTAATCAAATCATTATCTTGGGCTAAGGCTACTGCAAACACAATAGCATTGGTGCTACAATATTATTATAATCTATTCCCTTTCTTTTCATGAAAGCTTACAAAGAAAGAGAATAACAGAGCAGAAGAAAAAACTTCCAGAGCCATGTAATATGCACAAGGGAGGGAGGATGTTTAAGCTTTTCTTCAGCATCAGTCTGGCAGCCAAGGCTAGAAGGAAGATTCCTGAAATTTCACAGCAGAGCTGGTGTACTTAGCTTCTTCCTTGCCAGGCACTGATGCTCAGTATCTTCCCACCTAATGTTTTGTTTTTCCAAAGTAGTAGATTAGCTCAAGTATTATTTTCTTCCTGTTAGCAGCGAAAAAGACCCAAACACATTACTACAGCTATGCTAATAGGAAATCATTCAGATTAACTTCAGATACTTAGATAATGCTGTTTATCATTTTGGGTTTTTTTGCCTGGAAACAACAGATAGGGAATTTTGGATTAATTCAGCCTCATCTCTTTGGCCTTCAAGATGGGTTTGCAAACTCTGCCAGCTCTCTCAGGGTGTTGTGTTGCACACAGAGTGAGGAGTGAACACAGAACTACATATAATGAAGAGTGTGGCGTGGTTATGGTATGGCTGAAAGAAGAAAAAGCGCACCTGGAGGCTCTAGCTGGTGCAGGGTTATTGTGCTGATATTTACAGCAGTGCCTGTGGCTCAGCTGGCAGCGACTGGGCTGAGCAGGGCAGACGCTCTGCGCACTCGGATACGGAGTGATGCCGGCCCGGATCACACAGGTCACTGCACGCTGCCGAAACACGGAGCAGCCACTGGTGCTATGGGACTTCAGCCCACTTATGTTCTGCTTACAAACTTACCCCTCCTGAAACGCACCCACAGCCTTGTATGACTCCGTGATTTAACATCACAGTGAGGGGGCTCTGGAGGCAAGAACTGTACACGTAAAGACTAGCACTAGAGATACGAAGTAGACGCATTTCTTCTGCCTTCCCTTTTCTCTTTCTTCAAAATAATTAGTATTATCACTATTCAGGAAAAATCACTATCATGAGTGACACTAGTTAAGAAGAGCCTGTGTGCTCAAAAGGTTATTTAAGTAAGCTTTGTACACTACAAACATTTGCCTAAATGAAAGATTATTTCTTTTCCCTATGAACCTTCTCTTGTATGTCTACAGTGTATGACTACTACTGATTCTAACGTGATATAACATTACATAGTTTATTTTAAAAATATGTTAGATACTCTGGGCTCTAGATCCTTTCAGCCCGAAAGGCAATAGCAGCATGCCATTCAAAGATATATAAAATACAGCTGCTGTTGTTGTCCTACTGATTTTTTGCTTCCTTAGGAGGCAAAAGTCAACTGACCCAAACATCAGCAAAATGGAAAAACAGAATTGATATACAATAGTTTTCTGTAACACATGATATAAGCCAGTTAACGGGAACAGAGAAATACTCAATCCTTTGGAAAACATTTGGCATTTTACTATACTACTCCTTGGATGTTCCTAATTAATTTCCGGTTTTGGTTTGGGGTTTTTTTGGACTTAATTATGTCCTATCTTTTAAACACAGTTCTGTCTTCTATTTTTCAAACCAGCATTCCCACTCAAATTCTTGCTTATATTTTACTTTGAATCTCTGTCATATTTTTCATCCATTACTGTCTCAAGAACCACTGACTTGGACCTCAAAGCCAGTTACTGCCCTTTTTTCCTTCTCTCTTTTTTTTTCCCCCCATACTCTCCAGGCAGATGGCTCTGTTCAGGAAAGCGCTCCAGCCATTTAGAGCCCATGTTCTAAACAACATTAAAACAGCCACAAGAATTTCCTAATCCCTCTACAGGTTCATGTGTGTAAGTATCTACTGCTGTTGGTCATTAATTATTTTTACTGAGACACTTCAAAGCTCACTCACACCTATTCTGTCAGGCACTGTATAAATACACATTAAAAGCACAGCCCCCTGCCACTAGAACAAAACATTATAATCTGTGTAGCAACACACTCCCAGAAACATTCCTTTAAAACATGATTGCTGTTGTTAAGACTATAAGCTTTGGAGGGTAGGAACAACCTTCTCCTTACATGAATTTATGACAGTAGAGCGCAGATCTATAGGTGCTACTGGAAAATAACATGACCAAAAAAAAAAAAATATCAAACAGAAGTGTGAATAAAGAAAGCGATCATTAAATAACAATGTAGAAGAAATTAATGCCAACAAACTAGCACACAAACACTGGTGCAGGCAACGCTTATTTACACTAAGTGAGCTCTGGGTGGTAGAGAAGAGGACGGTGTGACAGCAGGAACCCAAGGGCGGAACGGGAAGGCTGCTGGCACCCCCAGGCAAGAACAGCAGCATTTCTCCTCCCAGTTAAGAATATACCGGTGGAGAGGCTCTAAAGAGGGATTTGGCACACGGTCACCTTAAAGCAAGGCCAGAGTCAGAAAGGTCACAAAGAAGCTACACGCTGAGCAGGGATCCAAAGGTTTTCCTTTTGGGGTTTCCTTTCTAGACAAGGGTACTCACCATGGTTCTTTGTTTCTACACACATAAACATGCCCTTATCTGCTTCACAGGAGTGCAGAGGGCACAATGTCCATATTTGTAAATGTTTTTTTTCCAAGAGAAATGGATGAATAGGTGGGGGTGTAGGTAAGTTTCTCTACTTCTTACCCTTCATCTTTTTGCAGCAGGGAAAATCCCCTACTAGGATTACATACAGAAGTTCTAGTTTCTCTCTCCATCTTTGGACTAGCTTCTCCAGGACTGGACTGATTAAACCCTACAGATGTGATTGCATCCTCACACTCACTAATCACCACCACGGAATCCTAATCAACAGCCAAAGAACTAACGGAGTGCTCAGATTGTTAGTACTTAATTGTCAAAGCCACGACTCTGACTATTGGTTTCCGTTTTTTAAGATGGAGATTTAAACTTTCAAATTTCATTTACTTAGGCTAAACTTCTACATTTCTTTTGAAATAAATACTTAAAATTGAAGCTACAGTTATTCTAGTCTGTTCTTGTGGAACCATCTACAGTTTCCAACAGATTTTCTATTCTATTGAGATATTTCAAGTCTGACTTACCCTATTCAATTCAAATGCATAAAATTAATTAGTCATACAATTTATTTTGAAGTCATTTATGTATTTATGTATACAAAGAACAAATACAATTACAGAATTGAAAACGCAATTAGTAAGTTAAAAATACAGCATGATCATGCACTCATTTCTACTGAAGTGGCAGAAAAACTTTTTATTGCAGAAAGAAAAAAGACAAAGCCTCAAGGCTCAACTCCAGAGAGAACACCTACAGCAATGATCTTCAGACAGAATAGATAAAATTATACTTTCAGTATACCTACTGTAGAAAGTTATTAAATATAGACTGATATAGATACAATTTTCCTCCTGTAAGCACCTCTAATATTCCTTTGTTGCCACAATCAAGAATGGTAGACATTTAAAAGTTTAACTGCTCGAGAAATCAAAGTATATGACATGATAGATAGGTAAGCAGAGGAACAAAGGTGTTAGAAAATTTCAAAAGGCAGTCAGTTAGCTGGATAACAAGTTCTCAAGACGTGTGTTTCTCTGTGTCACAAAACCTTGTGTCACAAGGCTAATACTTAGCCTTGTGATCCACTGCACTAAATACAACATGTCCCTGTAAGCTCAAATTCTGTGATCAGCTCATGACTCTTGACAATGCAGGTGAGTACATGTCTCTTAACCTTATTGAAGGCCACCATAAGTCAACCCAATTGTTGTTCTCTGCCTTGAATTTTAATGCCATTAAAAAAAAATAAAAAACAACATATAAAATCATACAGCTCATCCTGTCAGCCCACAGGATCAGATAAACCCTACCTAAGGGCCTGCAGAGAAGGTGTAGGGGAATGAAGATGGAAGCGCTTCACCTTGAGATGATCGTCACCTTAATTCCCACACCTGCTGAGCTTCCTCAGCCTTTCACGCTCAGGTCAACCAGACACCCACAAATGCAGCGGTAGCACTTCATCTGCAGCATCAAGTACGCTTTCCATATGAGCAAAGAAGAGTGCAGTCCTATCCCCAGCCATGCAAAGCTCCACAATTAATACTCTTGGCCTCTGGTGTGGTTCTTAACAAGCAGATTAGAACACCTGCTATTAATAACCAAGCCATGCCTCACCGAGAAGTGCAACTTCTAACCACTCTGAGCAAAAGGAATCTTCATTTCCACATAGGTATCATCTTCCATTTTCAAATGTATATATCCAAAAAACACCCCACACCTGTCCTGCTGATTTGGCCTCCATTACACCACACAGGATCACTAGCATTCCTTCCCTCCAGCAAATCAGAAAATAATGAGATGGCTTGTTGGCAATCATCCTTCTTATACATTTAGATCCAGCCTAAGAAAGAAAAATTCTTTTGCATCACACCAGACATAGACACATGACGAGAGCCCTCAGCCAGCAACAGGGGAAGAGTTCCTCAGGTAAACAGAGCTCGCTAGACTTAACCATTTTCATTTTTCATTATTTGACTCCATGTAGTGTTAGATTATTAACCAGAATATTATTTCCTCTTTCTTAAAATTCTTTCTTAAGCTACCTCAGTAAAAGGTTTATTCATCCAAAGGATACCATTACAACTGGCATTTTCCCAAATGATTCATAACTGTGGTAGAACAAGAACCCTTTCAAGCCAAAACGTGGCCTGTCATGAAAAAGTTATTTCTGACCTACAAAGCATAACCACAGGTTTTAACTTTGTCATACTCTCTAAGTCATCAGCAACTGACAACCACCAGCACGTTTCAGAATGTGAAACTGGTCCAACTGGGACTCAGGCTGGGCAGGTCTACCCACAGCCTGCTGAGAGAAGCGTACGAGGTGAAACGTAGCATTTCCTCTGGTGCAGCTCTAAAAGGAGATCAACCAGACCAGTAAGTCACAAGCAAGCATGGTACAGGTGCCAGGGCCTTCAAAGGGCTGCTCCTTTTCTCCACGCTTAAAATAAGCCTTGTTTAAGTAAAAACAAACAAAAAGTAAATCAAGTTTGTAACACTCTTAACTTTCTGATACATAGACCCGTGGGAAGGAGATGTACTCGGGGAGGAGGAAGGAGAAAGGGAATCATCAGGTATTTTGTGGTTGATAAAAACTTGGTCCAAGCGTTGCTGGGTGTGCATACAGTTTTTGTCTCCCTGTTCAGATGTTGTTGAAACAGTAGACTTTAAAGAAAATGTCAATGAATCCTCATAAGCACTATACATGACCTCTGGGGTAATTAGCAATCATTCAAAAGCAACAAGACTAAAATGTTCTATTCTTTATTACTGTCAGCTCTTGTCTTGATCAGCATTTTAATAAAGATGGTTCATTGCTAAGACAGTTTCATGAATCAGTCATAATTACATTCTGACATGCAGTGAATAGTAAAGCAAAACTAAATATCACTTCATCAACCTTTCTAACCTTTATGCAAGTATTAACTGTAAATAATTTTTACACAATCTTACAACAGAAAATCTGCATATTTCTTAGCTTTGTACATACCCTACCTTAACTGAATATCCTGTGACCTATACCTGAAAAAAATCCCCTTACAATCAGGCATAATTACTTAGTCTTGCATGATATTCAGGTGTTGCCTTTCACAGATCAAATCAACTTCAAGTACAAAAGGCTATTTGTTCTACAAAACAGTACAATGCTTTAAGGGGTTAACTAAGTTGTTTTTACAGTCTTTCCCCCCCATATTCTTCTGCAATAACAAAATATGGAAAAATTGCTACAATAGCCTTGGAAACTTCATGCTTGTTTGAATTGTAAACACCGTAACAAAACAATCAAAAAATCCCCAATACCACACAATTTCAAGGAAAACTTTCAAAGTGTCATTTGAGAATATTGTACGCTATCAATGAAACTAATCATGCTAAGGTTAATTTTGAATGACAAGTGTTTTATTTGTGAATTATTTTTAAACAGACCTAGAGCAAAAAGATCTGGGAAGTGAAATACTGCCAAATGTAATTTTTAAATCAATTTTTTTCTTACACTTGTGACAAGAACATTTAAACTTTAAACTGAAGAGTTCAGCAGAGATAAATTTAGAGGTAAAATTAATTCAATGGAAGTTGCACAAGTTTACATTACAGCCTTCCAAGCTTTAACAACTAATAAAGCCCACCATTCTTGCTACCACAAGGAACATACGATCTATTGTACAACTTTTCAATAACTTTATTTTAATGTCTAGCTACAAATCAGCTACCCCCTAGGAAGAGAAAAAATAGACAATTAACTTGTAAAATAATGGTGCATGAATAAAGACAGAGACTCTTAAAATGTACTGTTCTGTGAATAGTATTTCAGATATTCAGACAAAAGTGAAAGAATTCAGGAGGTACAGATGTGCCTGTGCTGGGTAGGAGACAAGTAGCCTCTCATTTTTCCAGTCAGGGAGCAGAAGAATGGCAGAGTAAACTTCCATGCAATAAGAACTACACTGAACAGCTCTCCCCATTTCACATCCCTCAGGAAAAAAACTGTCCCCACAGAGTAAGTGTAAATGCAAAAAAAAAAAAAAAAAAAAAGTAAAAAAACCCCAACCCACAAACCACTGTATAAACATTCAGTTTTGCTAAAGAACCAACAATGACTGTAACTTTCAATCTCCCAGTAAACAAGCTGTGGCATTCTGCAAAATAAAAAGGTCAAGAGTTCACTCTGAATTTATAACATGATGTTTCATAAGCTAAGGGTCAAATTCACCCTAATACATGTACTTCATTGGAATTATACCCTGGATTAAACTATTTGTCTAGATTTCTTTTTGCTGTTGGTTTTCTTTTTAACATTTGATTTGTATTTCTTTTCCCACTATTAGCCTTTGCTCCTGCCAGAGCTGTTGGCAGGCAGGAAAAAAAAAAAAGGGAAAAAAAAAAAGTAGTATTGATTTACGAAGCTGGATTTCCCAGAATAAAAAAAAAAATGTGATTAAGATCTAAACAAAGGCTAAAGATGGCTTACGCTTAGCTCTGATGAGGTCCACTACCTCATTACCAACAACTGAAAACTTCTGATGCATTTTGTTTCTAGGGAATCCAAAAGTCCTTGCTGTAAAGCAGGCTGGGGGGTGCAGGGGCCATTCACTCTCTCTGTATCACAACCATTATGTAAGAAGTATAAAACACTGCCTTTATGCTGCCAAACCACAATGACTCTTCTTACATCAAAGCGTTTTCACCACTAGGGTTTTTTTTCTCCGAAATTTATTCAAGCCAAGGGCAGGGAGACAACAATTCATACACGCTAATTACACCTAATTATCTATTCCTTTTTTTTTTTTTTCCACCAGCTTCGGCCAGTGCTATTTGCTATCTGGGTTTCTCACAACCTCCCCTTGCCCTGTCCATCCAGCTCAACAGTAAAGTCTTTGAAGAAAACAGTTGTGGCTTCTTAGAATTTTAACAATATAAGGTTCAACTCAAATTAAATTATTCTATTATTAGTTTTGACACATTTATGTGTTAAATATGAAGGCCTCTTGGTTAATTTGGCAAATTCCTCACATCTCTTCATGGCTAGAATTGCTGGTAACACCCTCTCTTGTAGGAGCTTCTCCTCATGCTTTCTTTTCATGATCTAAATGAAATGTTTATTGGATTAAAGTTCTTCTCTGCAGACCTCCACGGTGGCCTGTGACAAAGAGCTTAAAAGCTTTATTAATTGGCTGGGGCTTTTTGGAGGGAGGCAGGACCTCATTTCACATTACATCACAAGCAAATAAAACTGCCACGTGTAATTAGACTAATTTACCCTGATACTGCAGGAATCAACTATTCCATATCTATGATATGCTTTGATTTACTCATTTTAATCAAGGAGTAAACAAACCAAGCAAGAACTCAGGAAATTCTATTAAAGGAAGTGAGAAGGCAAGGAGCCTGACACTGAGCTACGGGACTATTTTATCCTTAGATAAAGTT